GGGGGCTCCCAGGCCGCGCGGGCGAGGACGGGACGGGAGCGGGACGAGGACTTTTGGAGAGAGATCAAGAGAGCGCCGAGTTGTGGCTGCGGCTGTTGCCACGGTAACGGGGCGGACCGGAAGTGGCGACCTCAGGACGCGACGGGCCTCTCGCGGGCGGCCCGAGGCCCCACAGCGCCTCGCGGTAACGCGGTGGTGCTTCGCCGCGTGGGGAAGAGCCCTGCGCAAGCACGGGGCGGAGCAGCGTCCCGCCACGCGCGGCACGGGGAGCCGCGGAGCCACAGCCTCCCGGAAGTGGCATGGCGGGAGGCCTCGGTCGCTGGGCCCGCGGCCCACCCGGAAGCGGAAGCAAGGCCAGCGTGCCTCTTCCTCACTGCCCTCCAAATCCTACTGCTGCCATTGCGGCAGCCGCGATGCCGAAGCGAAGGAAGCCGAGTCAGCAGCAGCAGCAGCAGCAGCAGCATCTGCCACGGCATCCCGCACTGTCAGAGCGGAGCGAGCCCGGAGACGAGGACGACGAGAGGCCCGTTGGTGAGGGGCAGGGCGCGCACACGCCTGTCAGCGGGCAGGGGCCAGGCGAGGGCGAAGTGCGGGGGAGGAGGCTCTGACGGAAGGAGGAAGGGCGCACGCGTGGAGGTGGGGTGGGACGTGGTGGTGGGAGGGGGCCTGCTGCTGCAAGCTTGGGTGGGGAGTTCGCGTGCTCGAACCCTCGGCCTCAGTCTGGCTCCTAACCCTTTCTTGGAGAAGGCGGGGGAGGTGGCGGCTGAACATCTGGCTTTCGCTGCCGCAGAATGGCGGGGGAGAGGGGCGGCAGCGATACTGCAGCTTGTGATGTCCGGGAAGACAGTTTGTGACCACACTTCCACTGGTTAGGTCAGAGTGCAGCCTTCTGTGAACTACTCCCCCGAGGGAAGGAGAGGAGAAAAAAACTATGATGGGCCAACAGTTAAAGTGAGGGATTGGGGTTCGTGGAATCGCTGGGCATGTGGTGGATGCAGCACTGAGGAAAGAGCTGTTAGAGCCCTGTTTCCGTCTGATGGACTCTGAAACAACTCTGCAGAGGGACGGGCAGATGGACGGGTGAGCGCTTGCGGCACTGCTGAGTGGATAGATCTGACTTTACTGGTTGAAAAGTGAGAGTTAAACACCACGACAGACGACAAGGAGGTGGTCTGTTCATTACACCGTTTTGATGACCGTATTTTCACCTCTGCTCTTAGGACCACCCAGCCTTCTGGGCCCACCCCCCATGGCTAATGGAAGGCCTGGTGATCCCAAGTCAGGTGAGGAGAAACTGCAAAATAAACGTTCTTGTAAAAAGTAAGTTTGTTTCAAGGTCTTAGCATAGCTAAGAGTCTGTAGACAACACACAGACCAGGCATAAGGTTAGCAGGAAAGCTAGGAGTTCAGTGTCAGCCTGGCCACAGAAAACACTGTCTCTAAAAAATAAAATTAAAAAGGAGGAGGAGGAGGGATGCTGGGGAGGTGGTCCAGTTGATAGAAGTACTTGCTTCAAAAGCACGAGGAGCTGATTTTGTATCTTAGCACCGTGTAAAAAACTGGGCACAGCACAGAGATGATGAGGCAGAAGTAGAAGGGCTCTAGGGTTTGCTGGACAGCACATGCAGCTGAATCGGTGAGTTCAGTGAGACCCTGTCAACATTCACGTAACATATAGAGAGGGAGGCAGAAGCACGCACACTGACTGTTGGAAATGTAAGGAAAGGGCTTGTTCAAAGGATTCTGTTTGGTCTTAGTTTACAGTAGAGTAAACAGACTGGGAGTCTGTTTCACAGCACGTGAGTTTATAGTATTGAACCATATGCTTAGAAATCGTTGAGGTGAGTTGGGCTGACAAGATATCTCTTGGTGCTTTTCAGGAAGAGACAATCTGACTTTAATCCTTGGGCTCCGAGTAGTACAAGATCCAATTCCACAGATTGTCCTCTGTCACATATGCGGCCAACACAAGCACAGAGAAGATACAGTGTTCTTTAAACTGTGTTTCTTGGAGCTAAAGAGAATGGCAAGTGGTTAAGAGCGCTGTGGCTGCTGTCATGTACACTGTGCACACAAGCCTAGCTCCACAGGGACACCAGACTCACATGCGGCACACGAGCATACATGTAGGCAATCACATGTAAAGCGAGTCTTCTTTTAAGAGTTTGTTTCTCACACACAACAAAACAACCAATGAGAAAGGCCGGCCCTTCCAGTGTTCCAAAGGTGTAGAACCACTGTTGAGGTGACTAATCGATACACCGCTTTGAAACTTCAATAAGGTCAAACTGTACTGTACTTAGCAATTCCTTGGCCACATGTGACCTGAACAGAAGTTTGTCGTACATGCAGAAATGGTGATAGCGTTTTTATTGTAGCCACACAGTGAACGTCCACATGCTGTCATCGGAGCAGACAAGTCACTTAGCTTCTGGTCCAGACGACCTGAAGAGTCTCACAATTAATGAAAGAAGCAGAATTCAAAACCAGGCAGAGATTCGCAATCTCCCATGTTATAAGTCATGCACAGTGGGGCCGGAGAGATGGCTCAGAGGTTAGAAGCACTGGCTGCTCCTCTGAGGTCCTGAGTTCAATTCCCAGAACACACAGGTGGCTTACAGTCATCTCTAATGGGGTCTGGTACCCACTTCTGTCATGCAGGCACACATGCAGGCAGAACATTGTATACATAGTCTTCTTTTTTTTTTTTAAGTCGGGATAGTGGCTCCCTTGTGGGAGAAGAAAGGATACATGGATGGCTTTGGGGGGCTGGGGATTTAGCTCAGTGATAAGGGTAGTTGCCTGGCATACACAGGCCCTAGGTTCAGTCCAGCACGGGGGTTTACAAGCACTATGAGCACTTGCCTCTGCCTGGGTGGAGGGAGCACAGCTGAGGGTGAGGCAGCGGGTCTGTGCAGTGCAGCGTGTCGGAATGCTTTGCTGCAGTAAGTAGAGGCTTTTGTCTCGGGAAGCTGCTCAGCGGTCACCCTTCGTCTTTCTCTCCAGCCTTTCACAGGGGTCCTCCAGGAGCAAGGGGACCAGTGATTCCACCACTGCTCAGTCTCCCGCCTCCTCCCCGCGGCAGAGGCCGCACGCGGGGAGGCCTTGGTCCTAGGTCTAGCCCATATGGTCGTGCTTGGTGGGGTCTCAATACTGAACCTCCTTTTCCTGGGCCGGGCCAAGGGGGTCCCTTTAGGGAAAGCTTTCACAAAGAGCCAAGAAATCCACGAAGGCCCAAGAGCTGGTCTCTTGTCAAGAACACCTGTCCACCTAAGGACGGCCCCCAGATGATGGAAGGTAAGGCCATCGTGTCATCCTTTGCTGTGGCCTATGTGCCAGCATGCCTGGAGTCTTCTCCTTTGGGTTCTGTCTGAACACTGAGAGTTGGTGTAGAGCCTTACCCGGGTTAAGGGTCCTCTACCACTGAGCCACAGCCTCTTAGCTGCCCTAGGAGGTACGAGAAGCCCTGAACACTTTTCTTCCTTCACAAAGATTCTTTCCAAAGTACTTGTAAACAGTGTATGGTGGAAACCTTAGCTTTTTTTGCATTCCATTACGTTTTCTTTCTTAGGATCTTTTTGGGGGATTAGGGGAGGAAGAGTTGTTTTTGATTGGGGCGGGTGGACAAGTTGACCTCAAACTGTGGCAGTCTTCTTCTCTCAGCCTTCTTAATGCTAGGGTCACAGACTTGAGCCGCTGTGCCCAGCTCTTACTAGATTTTAAGCTGTTGTTTTCACTTATTCACAGACAAGTCCGACCGCCCTGTCTGCCGACACTTTTCTAAAAAAGGCCACTGTCGCTATGAAGACCATTGTGCCTTCTACCATCCGGGTGTCAATGGACCCCCTCTGTGAGACTGTGCCTCCCCACCCCCCGGGCTGGAAGGAGCCCTCCGACCTAGTGGCCGTGCGCTCTCTGTGGCCCCATCATAGCTACTTGAAGGCCCTTCATCACCTTCAGTGACACCCCATTCATCACCTCCCCCATCTGGGTCCAGAATGTGATCTCCGCTGGTGAGCTGCTCACCGTCCTCTGGTCCAGGCTGTAGACCTCGGACCCGTCCTGCTCCCACTGCCTCCTGGATCTTCCCCTCTGCCAAACGGCCGCTGAACAGGAAACCTTTGGTGCTGTTGTTTGTGCGTCTGTCCATCTGTGCCCAAGTGTGCCTGAGAACCCTGGCGCACTGTCCTCCAGCTGCCGGTTTTAAGTCCTTCCATATAAAACCTTAGTGTTTGCAGCCGCCAGGAAATGCACCAGGCCATCTGGCCTCGGGGGTCACATCTGAATGACTGGTACAGACTTGCTCCCTCAACAGCCTCCCCCTGCTTCTGGCACCCTAGTGTCTGTCGGTAGCATGAGCCCCAGCGCTAAGGCTGTGGTCACTGTGCTTTGTGAAAGTGTGCCTCCATGTGTAGCCTTTCTCGGAGTCTGTGGCATTTCTGTGACTTCCCAGCACTAGAGTAAATTTTTTTGTTGAATCATGCGAGGCCCTTGGTGCCCTCTAGACTTCACCTGCCTCCCAGCTCGAGAGGATGTGAGACGGCCTCCCTGTTACACCCTCCCTCCTGGTGTCAGTTATTGTGAATCTCACCCAGTGGTGTCTTGTGAGGCCTCAGGCGGGTCCCCCTGAGGGGACCCCGCCTGCCCTGTCATTGTGAGGCCGTCAGCCCTTTGATTTGAATTCTGTGACTTCGATGGCCTTTGCCTGTCTGGGTAGAACCTGAAAAGTACTGTCATCTCTCGGACCCTCTTCCTTACATCCTGGCACGGGTTGTTTTCTGTGAAAACGACAGTGCACATGTTGGGTTTTGAACAGGACCTGAAGAAGTGGGTCAGAGGTGTATGGGCAAGAGGAGAGCTGATGGAGTGCTGAGAATGATTCTTTTTCTTTTTAACTTTTTTTATATTAGTAATAAACACAGTGGAAAGCGTATTTTCTCGTTTTTGTGTTCAGTCACGTCTGCTGGTGCAACTGGTGCTGCTAGGGTGTCTGCTCACTCTCTTGGTTCAGCAGAGCCAGCAGGAAATTTTCACTCTGTAAAGGGCTGGGACAGGCGGAGCAGAGCAGGTAGTGGCAAAGAGTTGCAGGCTGCACAGGAAGAGTGGAAGGGGGGAGTCTCAGCAGTGGGAGGTCTTAGGTGTGTTAGGATCTTTTTGGTCTGAAAGCAAAATCAGAAGAGTTGCTCACTTAAGATTTTTTCTGTGGTATTTTTCCCTTGAATCAAATCAAAGTTCACATGAACTGTGTCAGTGATGGTGCCAGACTTACTTAGGAGTATTTGTCTCCCCTGTATGTCCGCACCATGTGTGCCTGCTGCCCATGGAGGTTAGAACAGGACATAGAATCCCTGGGAACTAGGGACACAGATAGTTGTGAGCCACCATGTGAGTGCTGGGAGTTGAACCTGGGTCCTCTACGAGACAAATAGTTGCTCCTAACTACTGAGTCATGTCTCCTGCCCCAGAATGACACAGGTAAGCTTCGACGGTGCCATAGGTGTGAGTAGTGATGCTGGAGGAAAGTGAATGTTCAGAAACAGCCAGAATGAAAGCATTTGGGGCCAGAGACAGATTTGTTGTTAGAAGCATCTGCTTGAGGAGAAGCTGATGTAGTACCCAGGACCCACATCTGCTTACAACTGCCTGGAACTCCACTTCTAGGGCAGTTGGCTCCCTCTTTTGGCTCTGAGGGCACCAGACACATACTGCACGTAAGCAAGCAAAACATGTGAAAGTGATTGCGGTGCACGAACATCAGAACCCAAGAGGCAGGGCAAAGGAGGGAGGGGCCGCACCTCCAGGAAGAAAGTATCTGGAGAAAGGGAAAGTGCCCTACTACGTCAGCTGTGCTAGGAGAGTACCGTGGAGCACTGGCTTCTCATCTGTGGTTTTGGGGAAGTGAGTTGGGACAGAAGCACAGTGGGGAGCTGGGGATGTAGCTCAGTTTGTGGAGTGTGCATGAAGCTGCCTTAGGTTCAATTCTTAGACCACAGAAATAAGCCAGGCACATTAACACAAGGATGTGATCTCAAAACTCAGGAGGGAGGTAGAGATAAGAAGATGGAGAATTTTGGTGTCATTCGTGGCCACTCGGTAGACTTGAGGCAAGCCTATGCTACATAAGGAAAAAAACACCTGGCTAAAGATGGAGCTGACCCAGTTGTGGGAATGCCTCGTTCAAGCTCCTATGCCTGTCATTCATTAGTTAAAAGAAAGCTGTATCTTGTGATTTGAAAGATATATGCTTCTCCAGATGAAAAGACAGGCAGATCTCTGAGTTCAAGGCCAGCCTGGCCCACAGTGAGTTCCAGGACAGCCAGGGCTACAGAACCCCTGTCTCAAAATACCTCCCCTTCCCAAAAAAGGCATATGGGTGTCAAAACTTACCAGCTGCTCGCTGTCACGTTACGTGCAATTAACAGCAAAACTATCACACACCTACACCTAAAAGAACCTCTAGGTTCTACTGTACAGTAGTTTCTGGCTGTTGGGGTGCAGTTCTTGTTTTTATCTGTGTACCTGGGAATTTGGTGACATGTCAACCAAGGACCAGTAAGGTTATGTTTTCCTAAGTTGACAGGCTGTGGTGTCTAGGTACAGTGTGCAAAATGTAGTATTAAAAAGAAGAGGTTCGAAAGTGGCGGGAATGGCTGAAGAAGCGTACTGCTTTCATAAAGTGGCCAGTCAGACATAACAGACTTGTAATCCCAGCTCTCCCCCAGGGAGAGGCAGCAAAGACTCGGAACAGGGTGTGGCGGCTCGCGGCTTTAACATCAGCACTGCGGGGCCAAGGCTGGAGGTCAGCCTGTATCGGGCTGTTCCCCGAGAGTCACCGCGTCCCCGCATCAGCTGCTCAGGCGTGGGAACCTTCGGGACGCGCTGCGCCCTCCCGGAAAGGGCGTGCCGCCTCGGGCCACACCCCCAAGGCTGCGGCCCGCCACGCCCCCTGGCCCAGGGCGCCTGCGCACCAGGGCCGCGGGGCGGGCCGGGCGGGGCGGGCCGGGCGGCTATCTAATGGCGAGCCCGCCCATTGGCGGCCCCAAGCCGCCGGAAGCGGAAACAGCGCCGGGCGCCGGAGGACTCGTAACTGCCGCCGCGATGCCGAAGGGTCCCAAGCAGCAGCCGCCCGAGCCCGAGTGGATCGGAGACGGCGAGGGCACGAGCCCCGCAGGTGAGCGGGAAGGCGGCGGGAACGGCGGGGCCGGCGGCGGCCGCCACGGCGCGTACGTCCTGCGCATGTGCGCCGGGCCGGAGGCCGCGCGCCCGGTGCCGTCCTGGGCCCCGGGAGGCCGATGGGAGATGAGGAAGAGCATGTGGTACGGAGGGAGGGACGGGAGGACAGGAGCTAGGCTTGTTAGCGTCTTCTTGTGCGGTGCGGTGCGCTGCGGGCGTGGATTTAAGGGAACGAGAACTCGAGGCTTGAAGTCACTTCGGTGGGGAGATAGACTACATCGACCACAGCAATCTCAGGAGCATTTGATTTAATTTAGGCAACTTGTTGTTGTTGTTGTAAGACAGGGTCTCTCAGCCGGGCGGTGGTGGCTCACGCCTTTAATCCCAGCGCTGGAACCCAGAGTTCGAGACCAGCCTGGTCTACAGATCGAGTTCCAGGGCAGCCGGGGCTGTTACACAGAGAACCCCAACCCCAAAAAAACAAAAATGAGACAAGTCTCCCTACGTAGCCCTAGTTGTCCTGGAACTCACTCTGTGGAAGAGTTGCTGTTCCTTAAAGACAGAGAAATCCTCCTGCCTCTGCCTCCCAAGTGCTGGGGTTAAAGGCGTTTGCCACCACACCCAGCTGAGTTGAGACCAAATTTTAAATCGCCAAAGCTGGTCTGAATCTCTTTAGATCAACTTATTAATGTAAGAGTGGAAGTGGAGAATGGCCTCGGTCGAGATAAACTCAGGAACACCATTTACCAGGCTCTGGCAGGTTTTTTTTTGTGGAAAAGGTGGCAAGAAAAATACTAAGGCCCTGCCAGATGGCCGAGGTGCATGTCTTTAATCCTGGCACTCAGAGTTAGGGAAGGCAGAGGCAGGCCGATCTCTGTGAGTTCCAGGACAGCTAAGGACACATAAACCCTGTCTCGAACCTTGCGCTCCCCCACCCCCCAAAAATACTAAGGTGGTGAGAATGAAGTATCTGCCAAATGTCTGGACCAGAACTAAAGACTGACTAGATAAAGGGTAAAGACTAAAGAATTCCACTCTTATTAGTCAAAATGCAGTTAAAGGGATGCTTAATAGTGCTACGTGAAGAAATATTTTTAATTAAAAGTTATTTTATGTGTATGGGTTACTGTGCCTTTTTCTGCGTGCCTGCAATGCCTTCAGAGAACACTGGGTCTCCATGAAATGGAGTTACAGAGGGTTGTGAGCTGAGAACTGAACCCAGGTCCTCTTAACCACTGAGCCATCTCTCCAGCCCTGAAAATAAAAAATTTTAACAAGAATTGGGGGGAGGGGATAGTGTTAGACTGTAAGGTAGAAATGATGCAGAGTGATACTGGCTTTTTGTGTGTCTAAATGTTTTGCCTGTATGTACACGTGCGTACATGCCTTGTCAGAAGCGGGCATCTGTCCCCCGAAACTGGAGTTGCAGATGGTTGTGAGCACCATGTGAGTGTGGGAATCAAGCGCCGGGCCCTTCGGAGGCTGAGCTGGAGCTTTCTAAGAGGAGATCACCAGGTCACGGTGTGAAGTGTCTGTAGTGAGAGAGAAGACTTGAAGTGAAGAACCAGATGAGTGCACCTCTAGAGTGCAGACTGAGGGGTTTGTGTTGTTTTAAGTGTCTTGCCAGGTGTGGTGACGGAGGCCTGTGATCCCAGTGCTGAGGAGGCACAGGCAGGTGGAGTGTGTGAGTTCAAGGCCACCCTGGTCTACAGAGAGTCCAGGACATCCAAGGCTACACACAGAAACCTTATCTCTGCAGGGGGAAAAGTGTTGAGAGGTATCTAGAGTTGGGCATGGTGCCCCCCCCCCAAAAAAAAAAAAGGAAGGAGATGATAGTCACAGCAGCTTCCTGGACATGAGTGTTTAGGGTTTGCATATACATAATACACTGTCTAGGAGGTGTCTAAACGTAAAATTCACTTTTACTTCATGTACACCTTATACACAGCTTAGAGGATTTTATTTTAATACGAGGTCTAATGTAGCCAAGGCTGGCTCTGAACTCATGTCTAGTCAGGGATGGCCTTGAACACATACTCTTCCAGCCCGAGCTGTGAGGTGTTGGCACTGCAGGCTGGAGTCATATGCCCAGCTATAGACGGGAGAATGGCCACGAGTTGGTCATTATAGGCTCATCCTCTGATGAGACGAGGTTTCACTGAGCTGCCCAGGCAGGGTTCAGACTCACTCCTCCTTCTGCCTCCCTGTTATCCGGATTACAGAACAGGCCAGGAGTGGTAGAGTTAAAGTGTTTCCTTTTGCCTGGAAGTTCAGGACAGCTTCGGCAGTTCTTCCGTCCAGGGCAGCATAGCTCTGGTCCTGCCGACTACTGTGACAGTACTGTCTCACAGCTGCCCTGTGCACACACTTCTCGTCTCAGGGTTAGGTAGATCAGTAGAGTCTGACAGAAGAAATTTAAAGAATGGCGGTGTGAAGTCACTCATGTTGGCCCACACCTTTAATTCTAGCCTTCAGGAGGCAGAGGCAGATGAATCTGGTGAGTTTAAAGCCAGTCCGGCGTATAGCCTGAGCTCCGGGACAGCCAGGGCCACACAGAGAAGCCCTGTCATGAATATGAGTCAGGCCTGTAATTCCAAATACATGAGGCTAAAGCAGGAGGGGTCACAAGTTCAGCGCTATCCTGGGCAGCATAATGAGACTGCCTCAAAATAGGAGGGCTGAGGAGGTAGTTCAGTTGTGAGCAGCTAGTGTGTGTGAGGCTCCAGATGCAGCACACACAGATGAGGACGTGCGTGGTGGTTTTGCTGACTGCATTAATCCCCGTGTGCAATGATGCGCGGGTGTTTTAGGTGAACTGGTTGTCTTGTGCTCTTTGGTGGGTCCTCCTGTCTGGAGGATTGGGCTCCATGCCGGACCGGCTTGAAAAGCTTTTCAGTATTAGCCTTGCACACCCTCATGACCTGTCACCCAGCGTTCTGGGGAGGACAGATGAAGCAGAGACCCTGGAGGAGCAGGGCCCACAGCCTAGCTTGGGGCACAAAGCAGGAAAGCTGGGCAGGGGCTCTGTGACTGTAGAGTAAAGAGATTGTCTTTTATTAGCTCCAGGGTTTTTGTTTGTTTGTTTTGGCAAAGTAGATATTTAGTAAGACTTTTCTAAGTAAATAAGGACTGTGGAACACAAGGAGTTCTGATCTAAGACTGCTTTCTGTGGGCGTGGGTTAGTTCTCATAGCTGTTGTAGCTCGCAGTTAGGTATAAAGATCCCAAAGGGTCTGATGCCCTCTCCTGGCATCTGGGGCAGCAGACACACATGTGGTAAGAAGAACACATGCTGGGGCTGGAGAGATGGCTCAGAGGTTAAGAGCACTGGCTGTTCTTCAAAGGTCCTGAGTTCAGTTTCCAGCACCCACATGGTGGCTCACAACCATCTATAGTGAGATATGGTGTCCTCTTTTGATGTGTAGGTCTGCATGCCATCAGAATACTGTATAAATAATAAATAAATCTTTTAAAAATGTATTTAAAAAAGAACACCTGCAGATAAAACAACATACACGTTGTTATTATTATTATGACTATTTTAAAAAGTATCATGGGGGCTGGAGAGATGGCTCAGTGGTTCGCTGGCTGCTCTTCCAGAGGTCCAGAGTTCAATTCCCAGCACCAACATGGTAGTTCGCAACTATCTGTAATGGGATCTGATGCCCTCTTCTGTCATGTGTGTGTACATGCACATAGAGTGCTTTGTGTACATAAAATACAGAAGGAAGGAAGGAAGGGCATGGCAGATAGCAGAAAGCTCCGTGTGCTCCGCAGTTAGCTGGTTGTTGGACTGCTTTAAGTGAGTGGTAGTTCAGAAGACACAGTGGAGGGCCTGGCCAGGAAGGGAAGTCATCCAGGAGTTCTGCCTCTGGGAATGGGAGACTAGAAGGATTAAGTGAGACCTCCCTACCTTGAGGGACACAGATGGGCAGAAATGAGGAGTGGGGTCAGTCTGAGCAGCTGTTACTGACTTCCCTTGCTCCCTGGCAACACAGGTAGTCTCTCAGGCCACTCTCTCGGCCACAGGAGTACACAGGAGAAATGACCAGCTGTCCTTATAGTCAGGTTTCCCGAAGGGGCCGTAGGCCCAGGTGTTCATCACAGAGTCACTGTGACCTGCAGCCTCTGCCCAGGTGTTCATCACAGTCACTGTGACCTGCAGCCTTCACATATAACACACCCTAACTGCATTCTCTTTTTTTTTTTAATTATTTTTTTATGTACATTGCTGTTTTGATTGCATGTATGTTTGTGTGAGGGTTTCGGATCCCCTGGAACAGGAGTAACAGACAGTTGTAAGCTGCCATGTGGGTGCTGGGCGTGAACCCCAGTCCTCTGGAAGAGCAGCTAGTGCTCTTCTTATCCACTGGGCCATCTCTCCAGCCCTTTAACTGCATTCTTCAGCTTGGCTTCCTTCCCTGCAGAAGGCATGATGGTGGGAAGTTACATTGTCTCTTCCTCTGTTTTTTCCCCCAGTGCTCCCCTGCTCCACCCTGTGGAGTCTGTGTTGTCCTTCCTTGTGGTCACCAGGGTAGAGCCCCATGAAAACACTGTAGATCTGTCAGACCTTCCAGTTCTTGTTCCCTCCCATCCTCTCTCCACTCTAAAGTGGATCCAAGACTTGAAGGTAGAAGAGATCATAGCAATAAACGAACTGTTCCTTGCCTGGCTCCCCACAGCTTTCCCTACAGCTGGGCCTTGTCCCGCACTGTCCCAGCTGTGGCCACACTGGGTCGTTTGCCTGACTTTCTTCTCACAGCTGCTCTCTACACAACCTTGGAACTCCCTTTAGGCTTAGTCAGACTCCCTCCACAGGGACCATGCAGCCAACCTCTCCCCGCCCTGCCAGATCTGCCTCTTCCTCCCTTTGGGCAAGTTCAGGGCCCTTGCTGTGTAAAGACCTGTCTTCCTACTAGAACCAGAGGAAACCAGTTATGTCGTTATCTGTTTTGTATCCCCCATGCAAGCATTTGCTGATGCCCACTGTCTGTGGGGCCAGAGGGGTGGCCCAGTGATCAGAGCACTGTGGCTCTTGCAGAGGACCCAAGTTCAAATGAGCAACCCCATGACGGCTCATGAGCATTCACACTGCAGGAGGCAGGACGGCAGGCACGCAGTGCGCACACACACCTACCGGCAAGGCGCCCTCAGGGTGAATCAGTCTAAACATTTTCAGTAAACCAGTGGGGGTGCACCCTGCAGTTGGGAAGAGCAAGTCCAGGGCAGCCAAGGCTATACAGAGAGACCCTGTCTCGAGGAAAAAGTGTTTGACTGGATGAAGTAGAAATGTTTCTCTCTGAAAAAGCAGGGAGTGGTGATTAAGAGTAATCTCCCTTGTGGGGCCAGCCTGCAAGAAGCTCGGGCTGCTGGACATGAGATAGCTAATGTGGTGATGTCTCTTTAACCTCCAGACAAAGTGGTGAAGAAAGGCAAAAAGGACAAGAAGACCAAAAAGACGGTGAGAAAATGAGGGTCCCAGGAAAGAAGTGTCCGTAGGTGTCCTCAGGCAGAATGTAAATGGACAGTCGAGGTCTGAGGAGAAAGGCCTTGTGACCAGAAGGGACTCTGGGTGTGGGTGGGTGGCTAGTTCTATCACTCAGCAGGGGATCATGGGCTTGTATAAAGTTCTCAAACAATTAATAAAGAATTTTTAAAGATCCAGCGAGCCAAGCAGTTGTGGTGGGCATCTTTTATGCCAGTACTCAGTCAGGAAGTGAAGAACTCTGAGTTCAAGGCCAGCCTCAGTCTGGTCTTCTGTGTCAGCCAGGGTGACACAGAGAAGCTGTCTCAAAAAATCAAAAACTAAAAACAAATGGAAAAGAGCAAGTACTGCTTTCTTACGGTTTTGGAGGTTGAGAGCTTCCGCTGGGCTGGGCATGCCTGTGTCACCTTTCTATGAAAGTGGAAATTAGTTCACGTGAGTGAGAGCCAGGAATGGTAAAGTAAGGTAGAAAAGAGACGACCACTGAGGTTCAAGAGAGGGAAGGTGAGCAGGGCTGCGTGCAGACGGCCGGCTGGCAGGCTTTCCCACTCACCCCTGTTTCATCCCCTCCAGTTCTTTGAGGAGCTGGCAGTGGAAGGTAAACAGGCTGGGGAAGAGGAAAAACTGCAGAAGGAGAAGGAGCAGCAGCAACAGCAGCAGCAGCAGCAGCAGCAGCAGCAGGTAACCGTGATGGGCCTCAGATCCCAGGACATGGCCCCAGCAGGTCCTCAGCTCATACCTCAGCTTCACACTTATGCTATTGTTTCAGCAACAAAAGAAAAAGCGAGACACCCGAAAAGGCCGTCGGAAGAAGGATGTGGACGATGATGGTGAGGAGAAAGAGCTCATGGAGCGGCTTAAGCAGCTGTCGGTGCCAGTCAGCGATGAGGAGGATGAGGGTAAGAGAACGGGGGGGCGGGGCTGTCTGCAGTCCAAGGATGGTGGGCAGTCAGTCCTCAGACCTGGCAGGGCCTTTGAGTTGGTCATTGAGGAGCCACACATTGAATTGACTGCTTTCCCTCTCCCTTGTCATTTCAGTACCCGCCCCGGTACCCCGAGGAGGGAAGAAGTCCAAGGTGAGCTACCAGTAGGTGAGCAAAGACCCCCGGGGCAGCCACAGCCACCCCACTGACCTCTGTGCACTCTTCCTGTAGGGTAGAAATGTTTTTGAAGCCTTGATTCAGGATGAGAGTGAAGAGGAGGAAGAAGAAGAAAAACATGCCCCCAAGCCTGCCAAGCCAGAAAAGAACCGCATCAATAAGGTGAGTGGTGCCCCCACTGAGCCTCCTTACAGGTGTTCAATGTCCTTGGAGACCACCTCCTAAGTCTGTCATGCCTGCGCCACTGGAACCCATCCCCAGAGTCACCGGTCACCTGGCTGTCCTCAGAGATTTAAACAAAGGCCCTCGGCTTGGCTGTTCCCCTGTGGACATCTTAGCATCCAGTGTGATCGCATCCTTGCTGAGGCCTTTGTTGCCCACTCTGCTGTCCCTCGTCCCTGGCCTTCTCACCCTGCTCCACTGCCCTGTCCTCTTGTCTGGCTGAGTGCAAACTACAGTAGGCCTTTCCAGGTCTCGTGTCTCCCCTGGCAGCCCTTTTGGACCATGGCAGGCTCTCTAGAAATGATTTTAAGTGGCAACGCCGTCTGTGTGTGTCTCCTACAGGCTGTATCTGAGGAGCTGCCTGGGCTCAAGAGCAAAAAGGGAAAGGAGGAAAAGTCAAGAGGGAAGGCCAAGGTGAGAGAGTCGCTGCGGGTCGGGCTGACAGCTCTTGTCAGCGGAGCAAGTCATCAGGCCTGTCTCTTCATTGTCAGCCTCAAAATAAGCTCGCGGCTTCAGACAGCGATGGGGAAGGAGATGAAGAAACAAGTAAAGAAAAGGCGCCTCCCAAGGAAGGGAAGGACAGAGAGAAAGCCAAGAAGGCCGAGCAGGTGGCTGTGGTTTGCGTTGCCAGGGGTGTGGAGGGTGATGCTCGTCCCGACCAGAGCAGGACTTTGTCAAGGGAGGCGCTGATGCTCAGTGTATTGGTACATCTTTAATCCTAGCACCTGGGAGACAGGTGAAGAGCTGTGAGTTTGAAGCCAGCCTGGAGGTCACCCTGACGACCTTGGTTGTGTCTGTGCCATTCACGGTGGTCTAGAACACGTCCTACCGTGTTCCTGGTCTCGGCTGCCGCTGTTTGCTGTGGGTCTGTGTGCCTCAAGCATATCTAGTCTTAGGTCCTCTGGCTTCCTTGGGATGCGCACAACACCATCTGTTTTCCGCAGGCCACCAGCAGAAACTCTTGCTCCGCCCTCAGTTACACTGTAGTGAAGTTAAATCTAAGTTACAGTCTTCTTTTCCCTAGTTACCCCATGTTCCACACCAGCGTTTCCTGTTGGCAGAGACTGCTAAAGGCTACGTGCAGACTGTCTCCAGGCTGGGTGGGAAAGACGGCTCCTGCCCTAGTGGGATGGCAGTAACATGACCTGTGTTTGGTTGGTTGGATGGTTCGTTCTTCAAGACAAGATTTCTCATCTTAGTTAGCACTTGGGAGGCAGAGGCAGGTGGATCTCTGAGTTGGAGGCCAGCCTGGTCTACAAGGCAAACCAGGGCTACATAGAGAAACTCTAGAACTAATAACTCTGTAGACCTTGGGTAAGAAGTCCTTGGTCCTTGTTTTGGCTGCTGCTTTTGTTTGCTTATTGCTGCTTGGTTCTTACAGGGTTCAGAGGAAGAGAAAGAAGAGAAAGAGGGAGAGTTGAAGGCAAACGATCCTTACGCCCACCTCAGCAAGAAGGAAAAGAAGAAGCTGAAGAAGCAGGTCAGCCTGTCGTTTCTGTGGGTTGTGAGTCCAGGGCGTGAGGAAGGCTCTGGGGGCTGCTTGAGGCAGAGCAGCGGACAGAAGGAAGGATTGCGCGTCCTTCAGGACAGTGTGGGGCTGCTGTGTTGTGACGTCAGGCTCGCCTTCCCTCCTCAGATGGACTATGAGCGCCAGGTGGAGTCGATGAAGGCAGCTACTGCTGCGGAAAGCGACTTCTCCGTGTCCCAGGCAGAGGTGTCTTCCCGCCAGGCGATGTTAGAGAACGCCTCGGACATCAAGGTCAGCCCCGCGGCCCTGCCCACCCTCTGCAGTAGATAGAGGCCTGCCCTCACTCTGCTGCGGCTGTTCCACCTGAGAAGGCATGTGAGGGTGAAGTTAAAGAGAAAAGGGGCTTTTGCCAGCTTGAGGAAGGCGACAGGAGAGCCAGGGGAAGTAAAAGGACCGGTGCTTGGAGGGAGGGAGGGCGGGCGTCTCATGGCCACGTCTTTGTGTCTGTCCTGGATTCCTCCATCCTTTTGGCTGCAGTTGGAGAAGTTCAGCATCTCGGCCCATGGCAAGGAGCTGTTTGTCAATGCTGACCTGTACATCGTAGCCGGTCGCCGCTACGGGCTGGTGGGACCCAACGGGTGAGAGGGCAGGACGGGTTGGGGGGCAGGAGGGTTGCTCGGGGCAGCGGGTCTCACGGTTTCTGTCCTCCAGCAAAGGCAAGACCACACTCCTGAAGCACATTGCCAACCGCGCCCTCAGCATCCCCCCTAACATCGACGTGCTGCTGTGCGAGCAGGGTGAGGCTGAAGGCGGAGGGGCCTGCTGCAAGTCGGGTGGGTGGGGCCTGCTGCTGACCTTCCCCTTCCTGCAGAGGTGGTGGCGGACGAGACCCCGGCGGTGCAAGCTGTTCTCCGTGCAGACACCAAGAGACTCCAGTTGCTAGAAGAGGAGAGACGGCTCCAGGGGCAGCTGGAGAAGGGGGACGATGCTGCTGCCGAGAAGCTGGAGAAGGTAGAAGAAGAGGTGGCGCTGGGGACGCAGTGGCCGGCTGGGGCCTGGGGCCCGGGGCCCGGAGACATGTGTCCTTTTCTCTCTCCTCACAGGTGTATGAAGAACTGCGGGCTACCGGGGCGGCGGCCGCAGAGGCCAAGGCCCGGCGTATCCTGGCTGGCCTGGGCTTCGACCCCGAGATGCAGAATCGGCCTACGCACAAGTTCTCTGGGGGGTGGCGGATGCGCGTCTCCCTGGCCAGGTGGGCCTCTGCTAGCCCACTGCTGACTTCGTCCCTTCCCTTCCTCTCCTCTCTTCAAGGCCTCTTGTGAGGCCAGCTGTTGCCTCCTGCACTGCACAGTGGGAGACCGTGGGTCACTCTCCATTTGACCCCAGCTGACAGTGTGCTCATTGGGCTCTGGCACCCGGAAGCTAGGGGTTTGCCGAGCAGGCGTCTCTCATAACCCTGCACCCCTCCTCTTCAGGGCGCTGTTCATGGAGCCCACGCTGCTGATGCTGGATGAGCCCACCAACCACCTGGACCTCAACGCCGTCATCTGGCTCAATAAGTACGCTGCCCGTCCTCAGTCTCAGTCACTGGTCCCGGCCTGTCCTAGCCTGTCGTCGTCCGTTCCCCCGCCCCTTACCTCCTGACTCTCCTTCCTGTGCCCTCTCCAAACTGCAGCTACCTTCAAGGCTGGAGGAAGACACTGTTGATCGTCTCCCATGACCAGGGCTTTCTGGACGACGTCTGTACTGACATCATCCACCTCGACACCCAGCGGCTCCATTACTACCGGGGCAATTACAGTAAGCATGGCTTCTGTGGGCGGGGCCGGCAGGCCCTCTGTCCGTGGCTTCTCTCCCCATCACCTGTCCCTGCTGTCCCTCTGCCTGCTCGTCCACCCCAGTGACTTTCAAGAAGATGTATCAGCAGAAGCAGAAGGAGCTGCTGAAGCAGTACGAGAAACAGGAGAAGAAGCTCAAGGAGCTGAAGGCCGGGGGCAAGTCCACCAAGCAGGCGGTGGGTGCCCGGGCTTGTGGTGGAGGGCGGGTGGGGCCCTGTGGGGCTGGGCACGCACTCACGTGTGCTTCCTTCTTCCTGTGTTCAGGAAAAGCAGACTAAGGAAGTTCTGACTCGAAAGCAGCAGAAGTGCCGGCGGAAAAACCAGGATGAAGAGTCTCAGGAGCCCCCGGAGCTGCTGAAGCGCCCCCGGGAGTACACCGTGCGCTTCACCTTCCCGGACCCGCCGCCCCTCAGCCCGCCTGTGCTGGGGCTGCACGGTAACTGAGCGTGCTGCCAGGGACAGCAGGGCTGCGCCCAAGCTGCCCAGGCTGTGGCCAGGCATCCGGGGGGCTGGGGAGGTTGTAAGTGCCCGCTTTTCCTAGGTGTGACATTTGGCTATGAGGGGCAGAAGCCACTCTTTAAGAACCTGGACTTTGGCATCGACATGGATTCCCGGAGTGAGTTAGTTGGACGGATGTGGGGGCGGGGGTCTCGGGACTCGGGCTGTGTCTGACCAGCTGTCTCCTTCCAGTCTGCATCGTGGGCCCCAATGGTGTGGGGAAGAGCACACTGTTACTTCTGCTGACCGGCAAGCTGACGCCAGTGAGTCCTCAGGGCGGAAGGGAGAGGGCCAGGGGACGATGCGTCTTTCAGACTGGTTAGAATGCGTAATTGGACAGGGCCTGCAAAGGCAAAATCCCAGAACTTTCTCATTTGTCTGTTGCTGTTCCCAGCATCAGTTGAGGCTGCATGCTCAGCATGGCGTAGACTTGTTTCTGTGGTTTGTAATCCTGGGGTTGAGCCTTTAACATGCTCCATCCTCCGTCTTGTTTTACTTTGTCGAAGACAGGGCCTTGTTGAATTTCCAGAGTGGCCTCAGACTTGCTGTCCTCCCTCCTTTCTAACCCTCTTAAGTAGCTGAGCTACAGGCCAGCACCCCCGGCCCGGCTTCCCTCCCGTCAACGGTCAGGGAAGCTAGCTGTCTCCTGCAGTGCCCTCACCTCCTTGCACCCATTTATCCATAGCCCATATCTGGTATTTCGCACACGCCTTTAACCCCAGCATTCAGGGAGGCAGAGGCAGGTGGATCTGTGAGTTCGAGGCCAGCCTGGTCTACCGAGTAAGTCCAGGACAGCCAAGGCTACGCAGAGAAGCCCTATCTCAGAAACCTCATAAGCTCAGCACTGTGGAGGCAGAGACAGGATTGCTGTGAATTCAGGGCCTGTGCTGCAGAGTGAGACCATATCAAAAAGAAGAGAAGGAGAAAAACTGGGCTATGGTGTCACCGCCTTTCCCCGCCCCTGCCCTTACACTTTGATTTTTCCTTTTAGACCAACGGGGAAATGAGAAAGAACCACCGGCTGGTAAGCTGGCCTTGGGAGCTGAGGCGGGGAAGTCAGGCAGGAAGCAGGACTCTTGACTGACCTCCCTCTCCTCCCCGGCAGAAAATTGGCTTCTTTAACCAGCAATATGCAGAGCAGCTGCACATGGAGGAGACGCCCACTGAATACCTGCAGCGGAGCTTCAACCTGCCCTACCAGGATGCCCGGAAGTGCTTGGGCCGCTTCGGCCTGGAGAGCCACGCCCACACCATCCAGATCTGCAAACTGTCCGGTACTACCGCTCTGGGGTGCCTAAGGAGGTGACCTCATCGGCTCTCCCAGGAAACTGGAGGGGGGGTCACAGATGGGAGCCCCATGTGCTCAGCACAGCCGCAGGGTGTCTCCTTCTGCAAGGCGGTGACAGGAGCCTGGTCCCTCTCCTTGTGTGGCAGGTGGGCAGAAAGCCCGGGTTGTGTTCGCGGAGCTGGCCTGTCGGGAGCCTGACGTCCTCATCTTGGTGAGGTGGCGGGTGTGGGAGAAGGGTTTGTGGGTGTAGGCGCTGCTGCTCTCTGCTACGGATGTCTTCCCCACAGGATGAACCGACCAACAACCTGGACATCGAGTCTATCGACGCGCTGGGGGAGGCCATCAACGAGTACCAGGGGGGTGAGTGCTCAGTCAGAGGCAGCCAGAGCGGGCTGGGCCCTCCTCCCTGCTGCGCCTCTGACCTGTTCTCACCTCTCTCCAAAGCCGTGATCGTTGTGAGCCATGACGCACGGCTCATCACAGAGACCAACTGCCAGCTGTGGGTGGTGGAGGAGCAGAGTGTCAGTCAGATTGATGGAGACTTCGAGGACTACAAGCGCGAGGTGCTGGAGGCCCTGGGTGAAGTCATGGTCAGCCGGCCTCGGGACTGAGCTCTCCCGGAGGCCTGCGGAGATGGCGCCTGTGGCTGGGATCTCTGCCACCGCCCTCTATCTACCAGAAGCCTTGTGTCTGCTGCCAGCTGCAGCTGCACTAAGCTCGAAGGTGGAGTGTTGCCTTGATGTGTGACAGGATCCTTCCCGGTGAAGGGCTGCCTCCCTTCAGGTAGCTGAGCTGTCTTACCCGCCCTGTCTCCTCACACAGAGGTGACCTTTGCTGTGGTGGGTTCCCCTCCAGCAGTTAAGGTGGCCTCTTGTCTCAAGACGTTTGCCGCCCAGAACTGACCTGCTCCCTCCCCTCGGAAGGGTACTAACTCACTGACTCGACCGGGGAACCTTGGCCTGGAGGCCGGTGCTGTTACCAACCTGAGCGCTGGTGCCTATGGCCACTTGTGTAGGGGGACTTGTGTGCAGGAAGGAGAGCTGAACTGAAATCCCCTCCTCCAAGGGGAGGAATAAAGGAGTGGGTGCTGGTTCCCAGCCTGTGTGCAGTTAACTCGGCTTTTGCTGTGCCTTCCTCCGCACCAGTGGGTGCCCTCCCTGAACCCTCAAGGAGGGAGCGTGACCAAGCCAATCCCAGGTGTGCAGCGGTGCTCTGCCCTGAGCTCAGAAACACGCTGGGAGAGTGTCCACCTGTAGTTCCAGCGCCCAGGTCTTTGGTGGCCACATCGTGCGTCTGAGGCAAGCCTGTGAGGACTAAATGGGCTGTGGAGGACTGGGCAGGAAGGAAGCTCTGCGGCCATGAGCGGGTGGAGCTAAGGCGTGGACCCTGGCAGTGCACCCGCTGCCGCGGGTGGTCGCCTCTGCTGCTTTGCCAGTTCCTTCGTCTCCTTACTAACCCCTCAGTAGCTGGAGAACAGGGGGAGGGGCTGAAGTTATCCTTAGATGACTGCTGGTTAGGGCTGTTGACTTCCTTGGGGCAAGTTTGATCTTGGCTGTCAAGATTTATTATTTCTTTGAGCACACTTACTTACCAAACAGCAACCCTGCCTCTTGAGGCCCTAGCATTTATGTACCCTCTGAAAGCTTCCCAGGGTTCCAAACATAAACTCCCTGCAGCTGGCAAAGCCACGCCTCTGCCAGAGCACGAGGCAGGCCACAGTGAGCTGCTGCAGACAGTCAAGCAGCCCCCAGCCCCGCACCTGGGCTTAAAATGAGAGCACTCCCACTAACACTTCTGTGATTTTAAAGACACCAAGATTCTGAAGTTCTCACCACAGCCACATACCTAGTATTGTAGGATCCGCAGTGGGCTCTAAGGGGCCGTTCGTTCTGCAGACATGGGTCTGGATCAGGAAGGCTGGGCTAGGTGGCATGCACTTTACACAGGGAGTGTTCCAAAGGAACTCGCTGCTGATCAGGCACACAGCTGCAGGGTCTCCTTACCTGCTCAGTGTGTGGACACCCCCCAAGAAGCAGAGCATGAGGATGGAACAGAAGAAAGGTTTCTGTTGCAGAGGGTGCCACCTACAGCCCTTGGATACAGAGAGGAGTCCTGGAGTGGGGGGGCACGGTGGGCTGTACAGACTCCAAGCTGGGCCCTGTGCTTTCCCTGAGGTCTCGAGGTGAAAGGAGAGAAGGGCAAAATGGGAAAGGCAGATACATAGGAAATACTGGAGCAGAAAGGAGAAGCCAGTTTGGAAAAATTATTTTCCAGCCAAGTTAAATAGTACGGACTCTTGAAGGACAAGATCGTATCAGAAGCAGGCTGGGAGTGTGGTCCTCTGAAGGGATGTGACAGGCAACCACTGAGGCGGACTCCCCAGGTGACAGTGCTCTGACCTTGAGCAAGCTCTCCCACGTCCTGGTGCCCATCTGTACACTGAAGCTGGCGTGCAAGACGGTACCCGGAAACGCTGCGCTGCGGCTGCGCTGCGTGAGTGGGAACCATGCACGCTTAGAGTCTGCGCTCTGCTGAGACAGTGCAGAGGTCGGGGAGAAGGAGTGTGTGAGGCCTGGTGTAGGTTAATCCCAGGCAGAGGCAGGCAGGTCTCTGAGCTCACAGTCTGGCCCACAGATTGTGTTCCATACAGCTTATCCGAGAAACCCTGCCTCAGTTTCTCTCAGTGAACAGACTGTATGTGGAGTTACTAATGTGTTCACTTCAGTGCAGGAGGGGACTTGCCCCTCAAAAAGAAAAGCAAGAATGGAACATGGAAAAGGAGTATGGGCCGCCAAAAGTCTGAAGAAAAGGCGTAGTTTTATTAATAGGGTAATTTTTTTTTTTATGACCTGCATTTATTTGAGACAGGGTCTTATGTGAGTCTGGCTGTCCCAGAACTGGCTATGTAAAGCTGGCTGGTCTTGAACTCACAGAGATCTGTCTGCCTCTACCCACAGTACACCACCATGTCCAGCTTTTCAAGCTGAATTTTGTTCTGTTCCATTTGTTTTGAGACAGGATTTGTTTGTGTAGCACTGACTGCGCAGGCCCAGAACTCAAAAGCGATCCACTCTGGGAGCCTCTGCCTCTGCCTCCCAGAGTGCTGGGTTTTAGGGTTATAGGTGTGCACCGCTGCACACCTATAGGTTATAGGTGTGCACAGAGACAGGGATTCTCTGTGTAGCCCTGGCTGTCATGGAACTCACTCTGTAGACCAGGCTGGCCTTGAACTCAGAGGCTCTCCTGTCTCTGTTCCCCTTTCTCCCTCTGCTGCTCTCTCCCCAGTCCTCATTTTCCTGTCTCTTCTAGTGAGAGTTGGGCATCTCCTGTGTCTGGCTCATCCTGTCGAATCTTTCTGATTTGTCACTTTGTCTGCCCCTCAATTAGACATCACTTGGAAAGGTCAGTGCTTTCTTCTACCTAGGTTTTGGATGCGGCCTATTGCCACAGCGGCCCTGCTTCTGGATTAGAATTTCTCTACAAGGAGCCTCAGAACTCTGAGTAGGTTTAATAAAAGTGTAAAACAACCAACCAAGTGTTAGGACATCCAGAGAAGGAACAGGAATGTGGCTAGTCAGGGAGGAAGCTTGTGCTAGGCCTGGCTGGGTGCTGGGCTGGGTGGACCTCAGTTGATCTGCTCTGTATTTTTTTAGTGTATTTTACATGTTTATTGGATGAGGGCATGCGCCTCACGTCTCTCCTCCCACCACGTGATCAGCCTCAGGTTGCCAGGTTTGGCAGCAGGCCCCTCCACCCACTGAGCCATCTCAGTGGTCCTGGCTTTATAACTGTGGGAGCTGGGTGAGGGGTGGGGTAGAGCTGGGACAGATGCCAGGAAGATCTTCCTCTGAGGAAGCCAGCACAGCCTCAGACCCTGGAGTGGAATGGACGGGTGGAGATGGAGGGCACACTGGGTAGGATTTGCTGTCCCTTGGGAACCTGGATACTTGAAAAGACTTAATCTTTTATTTTGTGGGGGGGTTTTGAGACAGGGTCTCTTTGTGTAGCCCTGGCTGTCGTGGAACTCACTCTGTAGACCAGCCTGGCCTTGAACTCTGCCTTTGTGGAGGATTAAAGGTATGCAGCACCACCTCTTGGCTTTGAAACTCAGAAGTCCACCAAGCTTCGGTGTCAGACAGCTGCACTGGGCAGACATAACAGGACTTGGTAATACTTGTTTTTTCTTTTTTGACAGGGTTTCTTTGTAGAACTTTGGCTGTCCTGGACTCTCTTTGTAGACCAGGCTGGCCTCAAACTCGCAGAGATCCTCCTGCCTCTGCCTCCTGGAGTGCTGGGATTAAAGGCGTGCACCACCACCACCTGGCAGTAATGCTTTTGTATTTTTTAAATTTTGGTTTAGACTTTAGATTAAAGGTGACCCACACCTTTAATCCCAGCAGTAGGAAGGCAGAGGCAGGAGAATCTCTGTGAGTTCGAGGCCAGCCTGGTCAAAAAAGCTAGTCCAGGATAGCCAGGGCTCTGCTCTATTACACAGACAAACCCTGTCTCCAAAAACCAAAACAAAATAACAGAAACAACCAATTTTTTTTTAATTTTTCTTATGTGTACAGCTGTTTCAGCTGCCTACAGTGGGGTTCTCTTGGAGGCAAGAAGAGGGTGGATTCCCTGGATCTGGAGTTACAGTTGTGAGCCACTCTGTGGGTGCAAGCTACTCACACCAGGCCCTCTGGAAGAGCTGCATCCAAATGCCCTCATTTTTGTCCGTTTTTTTAACCTTCGCCCCCCTGGCTAGGAGCAGGAAGGAAAGGCATAGCTAGAATGATGAACATTCAGAGCTGAAGATGGCCTGGGGCAGTTGGGCACAGTTTCCAGCAAAGCAGGGTGTGGCGTCTCGGTTTCTGTGGCTGGGAAACAGTTCAAGGAGAAAAGGTTTATTCAGATCAGAGCTGCAACTACAGTCATGGTGCAGGCCCTGGCGCCTTGTCACCTGTCCTGTGTCACCGGTCCACAGGACAGACAAGGACTGAGGGCCTGCTTGGTGCTCAGCTGGATCTGTCTGCTCAGGAAATGCTAAGACAGGGGCCAGCTGTCTTCCCACCTCAGTTAAATCAAGATAATCTCCCAGGTGATTCTAACTTCTGTCAGGTTGACATGACGCATCAAGTGTCAAAACAATTGTCACAAGGCCTGGGGCCGCATGAAGGAAGCAAACAGGCACAACAAAGATGGCCTCAGGGTTGGTGAAGAAGCACACAGGCCTGTGGTGGAGATGCCTGGTCTACAGAGCAAGTGCCAGGACAGCCAAAGGGTATGGCAAACTAGATGTGCTCCGCCTGTCCTTGTGAGGGGTAAAAAGAAAAAAAAGCCTCATACTCGTGTGTGTGTGTGTGTGTGTGTGTGTGTGTGTGTGTGTGTGTGTGTGTGTG